AAAAAAAAAAAAAAAAAAATGAAAACAACAACAAATTCCCATGCAGGGAACTGGTGTGACAAAGGACTTTTGGGTGGACTTTGTAGGTCCCTGCCTTGCTGCCAGACTTAGATTTTCAACCCCTCCATAAAAAACCTTTGATGCTTCCTCACTGTCCACAGCACAAAGTACGAACTCTCTTGTTTGGATACAGATTCTTTATAAAATGATTGATCCTGGCCTATCTTTCCAGCTTATTTCCTGTGTTCCCCTCCCGATGATAAACTCTAAGGTCTAAGCCTCCAGTTCCTTATTCTCCAATTTCCAGCTTGTGCACACCCTGCCCGCTTTCTCCCCACTAACTGCCGTCGGCCCTTCGTGTCTCCTTTCCGGGAGGCCATTCCTAGCTCAGTGGTGAAGCCGGGCCATAGCTCCAGCCCGTGCTCCTCTGACACTCGCAGTGCACGCACCGCTGCCCTCCGAATCCGGGGGACGCTCCTGCCCTGGGCTGCTTTCCACCTCTGGGCTCTGCAGCTGCCGTTCCCCTCCCCTGGAACGCTCTTCCCTGGTCTCCAAACCCTTCCGCTCTAAGGCCCGGCCCCCATTCTCTCCTTCACGCGTAGAGGACGCAGTTCTCGGCTGTGCGTGGATATATCCGTCCGTCTCAGTTCGCGGGTTTCGAGGGCAGGAATTATTTCTGTGGGGTTTTTTTTCATTCTACATCTAATACCCGTAAGTGTCTGGCACATAGTGATGCCTGAAAAATGTTTCCTAGCTAAATGCACGGTGAATAAATTGCCTTCCTGTCACACTAGCCTGGCAGTTCCTCAAATGACTGTTCCTTGTCCTTACCCAGCCCTAATGTGATATTCTGCACATGGTAGGCATTTAATAAAGTTCTAGTATCAGCTGTATTTTCTCGTGTTAGCATTGTGACTGTCTGCTGTAACTGGTGAACATATGAAAGACAGAGAGAGACAGAAAAGTAGGAACAAAGAACTAGAGACCACACAAAAGGACAGTAAGAGGCGGGGAAAGAGAACAGAGTTAGGTGATTCAGAGACAAGAAGGAAGCTCAGGGGGAAGGAGAGAGAGACAGGAAGGGGAGGAAGGGGAGAGGGCAGGGATGGGGAAGACCCGCTAGCAAAGGATGCGGCCACTTTCTGCAGCCTGACCTTTGGCACCCAAGGCAGATGGTGCTGAGAGTGGCCTGGCCGCCAGACTGCTGCATCGGTGACCTACATCCCTACCCCTGCACTCAGCAGTCGTAGGTGGAGCCCCAGGATCTGCACGGGTGGCCTCAGCAGGGCTGCTGGCCACAAGGAGCTCTTGCTCCTTCCTTCCACTCAGCACAACGATACCCAGCGGGAGCACTGTGTCATCCCCTCCAGAAGCATCCAAACCTCTGCAAGGGGCTGTCTGGGAGCCCAGTTCTGAGCCCCCAGGGCAGGGGGGCGCTGGCAAGGCAGCAGGGGACAGGCGGGGAGAAGGCGCTGGCAGAGACTGTGATTTGTTTCACTGCGGCATCCCTAGTGCTAAAGGCCTCGGGAGGGGTCAGCCTGGCTCTCTGCTGGTGTT